TACTAGGTAGACGAGGCGAAAGGCGGGAGAGCATCTGGAGAGCGGCACGCTAGGCCCGGGCAGAGGATCGAGCGACCTGAGCTGGGATGGTCGTTATTATGTCAGGAGGAAGCGATTCTGGAAACGTTACAGGAGCAGAGTCGATAGGACTTGATTCCAGGCAGAGAGCAAAGCAGAGGGCATGTGGACAGAGTCCGTGTGCGCCGCTCAGAATCTGCTTAGGTAGGGACTTGTGACACAAACAAACAAACAGGAGAGGACACCGAAGGAGGGGCAGGGTTCCAGGAGAGTGGTCAGTGTTGCTCAGAAGAAGCCACATTTCAGTGTAGGCGAAACATCTGGGAGGACAGGTGCAGCCCGCAGGTGGACACTCCAGCACAGAACTCGAGAGAGAAGGGAAACCTAGAGTTCCACAGTCACCCACGAGGAGCCAGCGTGGTCGTGAATACGATAAAGGAAGGGCAGAGAAGAGGACAAAGGGGCACCCCGTGGGGCGGCCAACGGAGAAAAGGGATCTGGGGAGGCGTCCCACTAGGAGGACCACCATGCAGTGCCACAGGAGGCAAGGAAAAGTTTCAAGAAAAAGGAATCGCAGAATGCGTAAGGTCAAATGTCCGAAGGCCGAGGAAGTCATCGTTTCGAGAAATCAGGGCTGATCGATAATCTTCAAGACGGCGGTTTCAGCAGAAGGGTGGGGGGGAGGACGCCAAAGCACAAAGGCCAAGGCGTGAACGGAAGGCGAGGGGTGGGCATCCAACCTCCGTTCTTTGGACGAGTTTCACGGAGTGAAAAGATGCGAAAGTACGTCGCGGAAGCCACACATAGGCCTCTGCTCTCACGAGCCAGCACCTAGGCGAACAGACAGAACCCAGTCTGGAGACAAGCAAAGGCCACCAGGGAGCACACAGTGATGCACTGCTAAGTGAGAGCAATTAGCGTAAAGCAGCCGTGAGGAATTCAGAGATGAGAGCGTTTAACGTGACTCAAAGGCCGCTGACAATGGACATGGGCGCCAACTCCGCTGGCCTCTGGCAGCGAAGCCCAAGGGCCACATTTCCGGAGAGGGACTGTGGTCCCCCATGGTGATGCATCACAAATACGTGACACCAGCTCCTGCACAGCGACATACACGACGTACCCACACGCCAGCAGCGGCGATGTCACACCACAGGCAAATGATGACTATGGAGAAATGTGTGCCAGTCATATAAAAGGCAAATGGCTTCTTAATCAAATGTACAAAGAGCTACTGAAAATTGAGGGTGAGGCGGGGGGAGGGGGGGAGAGAAAAAAAACCCAAGGGGAAAAAAACAAGGATCTGAATAAG